GCTCAGCCTCTAGCTTAGTGGCCCTCTCATGGGCTGCAACAAGCTCACCATCCCTGAGCGCGCTCCTCTCGTGGACTGCCAAAAGCTCAGCCTCTAGCTTAGTGGCCCTCTCATGGGCTGCAGCAAGCTCACCATCCCTGAGCGCGTCCCTCTCGCGGGCCGCCAGAAGCTCAGACTCTAAATTAGAAAACCTTTCATGTGCTGCCACAAGCTCACCCTCCCGGAGCACGTCCCTCTCACGGGTCACCAAAAGCTCAGAATCAAGCTCGACAATCCTCTCCTGAGCAGTAATAAGCTCCCTCTGCACAAGGCTAAGATCCAGCTTCAGCTTGTCTTGATTATAGGCCCTCGAAAGCAAGCAGATGGAGGAAGTCGAAACCTAAAAAAAAAAAAAAAGGAGTCAAAAACACAGGAAACGACTGGAGAAAGGGAAATAGCAGACCCTTACCTGAGCCAGACCTTCCAAATACGTGTTGACGATATTATCAGTGCCCGAAGCGCTAAGCTCAGAAACTTCTGGCCCAAACACAAACCTCCCAAGCCTTGCCCTGATAGCTGCTGGTCTCCCCATCATAGCACCAGCCCAAATCGGCACTTGGGTAGAAGTTCCTGAACAAGGAGGAGACAAAGGAGGGGTAGCACGAGGAGAGGATAAAGGTGGAACAGATGTGCCTGGCAAGGAAGATTCTGGAGCAGCAGTTGGAGAAGTTGCCAGTTGAGAAGGAGCCACCGTGGAAGCCACATGGGGGCATCATCTGTCCTTATCACTTTGGAAGAAGAAGATTCTGGAGCAGCAGTTGGAGAAGTTGCCAGATGAGAAGGAGCCACCGTGGAAGCCACATGGGGGGCATCATCTGTCCTTATCACTTTGGAAGAAGGAGGGCTCCTGCTAGAAAAACGGGACACCACCACCCTCTTACTCGCTGCAAGAAATAGAGAAGGGTTAAAAAAAAAAAAAAAAAAAAGAAAGGGGAGAGGAAACTAGCTCACCCTTTTTCTTCGAAGAGGAGCTGCCAGATTTCTGAGATGGAGCTACAGCTCTAGTATACTTGGGCAAGAGAACTCCCAAATCTTTACAAGGGCAAGCTTTGACAGCCTCCAATTTCCACTCCTGGTCCCGGGAAAGCACAGGTATATCTACATAGAAAAAGTGAGCACACACACAAAAAAAAAAAAAAAAAAGGGAAAAAAGAAGAAGTGTGCAGCATACCGAGCTTTTTAGCAGCACCCCAATGTGTTGGCACCAAAACTCTGTCGGCTTCTGAAGCCCATTCTCCACCAATAAAGAAGAAACAAGATTTCCAGCCGCCGCAATTAGAGCGCATCCCTGTAAGCACTGTACCACTCCGCGCGGTAAAATAATACCATCCCCTATTTGGTGTAGGGGTTTCGCTCAAATTATATGCTGCATGAAACTCCATAGGGGAAGCATCCTCGTGGTGCACCTTTCTCCATAAGGCAAGAAAACCGAGCAGGACTCTCCAACCGTTGGGTGCTAGTCGCCCCGGGGTCAAGGAGAAGTAATGCAAAACTCGACAAATGGGGGAGGACATGGGAAATCTTAACCCAGCCTCAAGCATCTCCTCGTAGACAACAATATCCCCGGAAGAGTCATCGCAAGCAAACTCGCCCAACTCAGCTCGACGGCACAACACGGTCGGAGGGATGCGATAAGTAAAAACAAGCCTAGAAATATCTTCATCTGAGCAGAACAAACTATGAAGGGTGCTCACCTTAGACCCGTCATCATCAGGTCCCACTTTGCTATTGCGTTTCTTCTTCCGGGGCCTTAAGGAGTAGTCCAAATCACCATTGGGAGAGTCTTGAAGAACTTGAATCGGGGGAACTACAGTAGGGGCTTGATCATCAAGGGCAGCACCCAAAGCTTCCCTACTACTTGCAATGTCTAGCCCAACGCCTGAAAGTGTGCCTGACTGCTGTTGCTCATCAAAACAAAGTTGCCCAGTAGCTTGAAGGGTGCTTGGCCTTTCAATATTGCACAAAGCAGAATTTTCGGCGCAAAAATCAGCACCTAAGGCGCCCAAATCAGCACCTCGAATGAGAATCGGATCAGCCCGTGCTCCCAGGCCACTGCCTAGCTCTCCCTGACAAACCTTGGACTGATTTTCAGCGCCCCTCGATGGAAAAATGCTGCTGCCCAGAGTTCCAAAGCCGCCCAGCGCAGCAGATCTGAAGCTGTCTGGGACAGCAGAAGCAGCAGCTAGGCTGCTGCCCAGCGCACCTGGGCTGTCCAGGACAGCAAGGCCAGCGCCCAGGCAGCTGCCCAGTGCGCCTGGGCTGTACAGGACAGGAGGAGCAGCGCCTAGGCAGCTGCCCAGGCCCCCAGCGCGCGCAGAGCAGCCGCCCAGGCCCCCAGCGCGCGCGCGCGCTGCCCAGCTGCGCGCCTGCGCTGCCCAGCCTTTCAATTTCAGATCCACAACTTTCTTCAACCTCCACCAATCCCTCTTCAATCGACATTGTTCACTTGAGAAGCTCAACTAGCAAGGAAGAAATCACACTCTTGAAAGGATTCAAGGAGAACACACACTTTGGCTTCAACAAAATGGGTAGGACTTGAGTTCTCAAAATTTTCAAGAGGTGGGGGCTCAATCTTAAAAATAAGTGAAGTGGTAACTTGAAGAAGAAGACTATATTTATAGTCTAGGGTTTTTCAAAAAGAGAAAAAAAAGCCCAAATAGACTATTATGGGCCCTCTTCAAAATAAAGTAGGCAAATAGAAAATTATGGGCCCTCTTCAAAACAAAGGGGCCAAAAAGAAAGTTATAAGCCATTTTCAAAACAAAAAGGCCAAACAAAATATTATGGGCCTTCTTTAAAATAAAGTGGAAAAGACTTGAAAAAAAAAAAATGTAATCAATGCCTCCTTCTCCAAGTCTCCTTGGACATGAGGCATTGGGGGGCAAATGATGGGTTAAGCCCAAATAGTCCAATTTATGTATTAAAGCCCAACCCCGGTTGAGGAGCCCAACCTCATTGTGAATCCACCAAGTCCAAGACAGACCAAGGCCGGTTAGACTTCTTGCTTAGCACGTCACCAAGAGGAGAGCACGGGAAGTTTATCTGCACCGCCTTAAGGAACAGTCCAAATCCACCAAGTCCAAGACAGCCCAAGGCCGGTTAGACTTCTTGCTTAGCACGTCACCAAGAGGAGAGCACGGGAAGCTTATCCACACCACCGAAGGAAGGAAACGGTCCAATCTTTGACCACGTTTCATGAAGAGCTCCCCAACCTCTTCCTTCCGTTGAGGATAAGTCGTGATCTCCACCAAAGATAATCTCTAAGCTGCGATAAAGAAGCCTTGAGGATATGTCATGATCTCCACAAGAATGATCTCTTATCTACTATAAAATGGCTCTAATCTGGGAAAGGAAACACACATGCTCCATCAGAGACTTACAGAAGACGAACCGACTACCGGAGATTATTATTTTCTTTGATTCTCCATTCTCCCTCTCAAAGCTTGTATCTTCATTCTCCATACCTTTGAATCAATAAAATACCCGGCGACTGAAGCCATTGAAGAGTGGACGTAGGTCGAATTGACCGAACCACTATAAATTGTGTCTTCTCTAATTTTTTCGTTGATTTCATTGCATTTATTATCTATACTTGACAGGTGGTGTGCAAAACCATTTTTGTGCATCATCAGGTAGCATTACAATTTAACATAACGAGATATTCAAATTATATTGTAGTATTACAAAATGGTGCTAGTTGATTTTCCGAGAATTGTGTTGTGTGAGACTCATAGTTTATGTGGAACGTGGGAACGTTATCCAAATAAGAAGTGTCAAATCAGCTAAGAGTCGGTCGAGTTGAATCAATGTGAGCGGATAATTGTGAATCACAAAGACTCAAACTATTCCTACTTACTTGATTGACTAGTCCCTCATCTTGAAATACGTGAAGAATCAAATATTTTATCAATTCCTTATCAAGGAATCATCGAAGGAATTTTGAATTAAGACCGTAAAATTTTGTTTATCCCTCACTATCTCAAGATTTGTAGTGATAACTTATTATACGATAATTACCTGAACAATGTCTATGATCAAGTAATCGTCTTGCCCCGGGAATTCCGGAACCACACACAATCAAAAAAACAAAGGATGATATTCTTAATAACCATGGGCTCCCCCCCCCCCTCTTCCCAGGGTAAGAAGGATTGAACAACCACCTCAGAATAAACTAAGGTGCCCATGAATTACAACTTGCAAACTGTTGTTCACAAAAAGAGCCAAAAACTGATGGTGGTCATTCAGGGCTGTGTTTTTAATCCCACATCGACAAAAGATGTCATAGTTGGACGGCATAGGGGACTATGAAGAGAGATGGAGTATGACTGAAAAACATATTTACCTGGACGGGGTCACTGGGTGATCAAGAAGGCTTATGGCCAAGGTTGATGACTTCCATTGCACTTGGGAGGGGTGTTTATCTAAGGTCTACCCAAGTGGTAGAGTCTACATCATAATTTGTCGTAGTAGGGGCTTGCGTTTGTGTGGTCTTTGCCTAATTTAGATAAAAATTTGTTTATTTTTTGTGAGGCAAATCATTTAGGTGGCAGTGGGGGCTTGTGTTTGCGCGGCCCTTGATTTGTTTATTGTAAATCATTTAGGTATTTGTGGCCCAATTGGATAAGCCTTTTTTTTAAAGTAATTTGTTAAATAGAGTAATACTTGTGAAGGTGTTTAACTCATTTGGGATGAATTTTTTGGGATATAATTTGGGAAGTATAGCCTTATAGTCGCCATTAAAGGGAATTTGCTCAACTTTTTATTAAACCAATTACACTTTTTTGGTTGCTTTTGATTGAACATTGCAGAGATTGGGAATGAAAAATGCTTGTGATATGTCTTACATTACCATTGAAACGCATTCCATGGTCTTGAAAAACACGCTCACAGAGAGAGAGAGAGAGAGATTTGGTATAGTAGCCATTGTTATCAGTCCAGAACTGAGCTTTAAGATAGCTAACCACATTTTTGTCAACTTGGAAGGCCTTGGTGAGAACATCAACAGAGATAGGTGGCTTTGACCCGAACACTGCATTTGCAATAGTGATTACTCCTAGATTCTGACTGCTCAGCGCGGCAATAACCACTGCAGGTGTGTTTCCAACATTTAGCTGGAAGTGAATGAGACCAACAGGGAACACAAACATATCTCCTTGGCATATGACCTTGCTTATGAGACGATTGTCTGGGTTGGAAGTAACAAATCCCACATAGAGGGTGCCTTTCATGACAGTGAGGATCTCGGTACCACGAGGGTGTGTGTGGGGAGGGTTGAGGCCATATGGTGCAAAATCAAAGGCGTGCCATTGAAATGCCAAGGGTGTTTAGTCCACCAATTTGAACAACTGTTACAGGCGTGACCATGAACACGAGTTTATTAGACGTGTTACCAGGTATGTTGAGCCTGGGGAAGAAAAAATCATTAGCCGTGGCCATCTTTGGGTCCTGGCAGAAATTCCCATTCACAAACACTGCACATAAACAATAAAATTTGTAAGCATTAGCAGATGAGAAAAAGGAAATTTAGATTGATACAAATATTTCTACCAAGCTTTGAAATGGAGAGGAACATTATGTACCAGCAGCTTTAGAATCATTGACAGCAACACAGAAGTCTTGAAGAGGATTGGGATCAGAGGCGTATGCAAGAGAGGAAACCACATCCCATAGGGCGACATATGCAAGAATTTTAGCTACCGTCTTCTTAATGTAGCTTCGATTATTTAGGCAATTGCTATGGAACAAGAGTATTAATCTTGCTAACTTGTGAAAATCTATGCATGGTAATGTTGTTTATATAGTTCAAGAATCATTGACATGTTCGAACCTTGAATCCGTCTAATTATGATCAAAATTCAGTACACATCCAGGGTAATAAAACTTACCAAGTCTTCAAAACTTTTATATTGTCAATCTGAACAACCCCATTTCATGCTCTGTTAATCAACTTCCCCGTTTGCTTTCTTATAATTCTTTTTGCCTATCCAGGACGGCAGATCAAGCAAAACAAGTAACAATACATTATAGTGGATATGAGAGGAAGTTTCCGTTGGGTTCAAATGCTTCAGACCTTTGTATATTTGAGTCCTTAGGATTAGAGGTTCTGATTATTTCTCATTTGGAAAATCTTGTTGACAGAAAAATGTTTTAAATTACATTTGGAATTTGACAGCTTCTTCATCCATTTTTTCTCGAGGTTTCTTTGAAAACATAGGTGAAGTATAACATCTAATAGTACCAGAAACAGACTGGCTAGTTAAAAACTCCTATGTAGGAAAGCTCAAGTCCGTGTTTTCTGGAAAATCTTCTTGTCAGAAAAAGGATAACTCGGATTTTATATTTTTGACAGTTTCTTCATATGTATTTCTCAAGATCGTTTGCTTATCTTGAAATGCAGGTGATATGTACATATATTGCTTGAAATTGAGCATGAGGTATAAATAGCCAATATGACCAACTCCATAGCCCGGAAAAGAAAGTATAGTGTGATTTAATGTTGATCAATTTTTCATGATAGAGATGGATTAATCAATTTTTCATGATAAAGATGGATTAATGTGATATGTGACGGACTCATAAAATCAAATATAATAGTAATTTGGACGAGATGATTCTTGCACAATCGATGAAATAGAAACACCTAGATCGAGTCACACCGAAGAGTCCTGAAACAAGGAACGAGGTTAGAAAAGTTAGAATGTGGTTGGATGTGTAGTCAGCATGTCCAATCCGATGCATAAGTCAGTCTATGTGAGAGAGGGGAATATGAATATCAAGTCTAGCTCCAAATTGCATACCTGAGACCCAAAGGCTTTTTGCTATTTATACCTGAAGATGTTGACTCATATTGATAATTAACATCTAATTATGTGTTATAATGTCCAAGTTTGTTTATATACCCGGGGGGTAGGGGAAATCAAATTGGATAATAACCTTTTTAGTTGAGTGTTCGTGATGAGTTAAACTCACTATTATAGGCAATTGTTTGTTCTATACCCTGGGATATAGTGGAAATCAAATTGGGTAATAACCTTTTTAGTTGAGTGTTCGCGAAGAGTTGAACTCAGTATTATAGGCAATTATAATGAGTTTTAAGCTCCTCTCAGTCTAATAATTCTCTAAACATTCCAATTGCTAGGTAGAACTTGATTTGGTGATAGTTTGCATTTAAGCTTTCTAGGTTTTTAATTAATCTCAAGCACTACTTTTAGACACATGAGAATGGGTTTCTTTTTTAGGCCTGCTGCAATCTGAGTTCAATAGTTTTACATTTGTATTGAAGTTTTATGTCGTACTTGAGTTGAGTTCATTCACGCAATTTGGATATAGGATAGCTTTAATATCTTAATTAGATTTTGGCTGCCATTTGAAATGGGAAACCCTCCAGGACTGAAATTTCGTTTTGACATTTCGTTTCAACGGATAGTTTCGGCAAAATTAAAAATATAAATACTTTTAAAATAAAATCAAAACAAATAAAAAAGTTCAAATTTTTGTTTTTAAAATATATTAAACCACGTGAAAATACCTCAAAACATAAGAATTTACATATTAAATCACTTCGGTTTTGATGGAAATAATATCATTTTGGATATTTCATAACGAACTTAGTTTCGTACCTACATTTCAATTATTATATACTCTTTTTCATGGTAATCATCAATTCATCTTGAAATTTCAAATTGTATAAAATTTTCAGTCGTAAATTTTAAATTCTTAATATTGCAGAACAAAATTTAAATAGCCGATCCCATAAAAATTGAGACAAAGCTTTGTTTGTTGAGTTGAGTATGTAAGTTCTTTTTTCGTTCTTTTCTTTTTTTTGGCAAATAGAGTATGTAAGTTCTTGACCTTAATTTTTTTTATGTATGATGATAAATTTGATCAACTATTGAGAGTATAGTGGAAGGAAGGGAATTGCTATATAGCTGGTAAGACTCAAACTCAGGTTATGTCTAAAGGTAGACAACTCCTTAATCACTCAAACAAACTTATTTTGGTCAATTCTTGACTTTGTTTTGCACTCTTAACGATGAAAGATTTGATGTAATACTTGGAATAAAATCAACTAAAACTCATGATAGCTTTATGGTTCATCAAGAACACTTTGTAGAGCAACTATACTGGAAATTCCTCATTAGTGGATGGAAAACATATAGAATCCGAGTTATGGATTTTTGTTCATCTCTCGCCGTGATAATATTTTAGAATCCGCATCCATAACTTGATATATGCTATATAGATAAGACTCTTTCAAGTTGAATCGAAGTGCGCGGATAATATTGAATCATGAAGACTCAAATTATTCTTGCCTACTCGATTGACTAGTTCCTCATTTTGGAATGTGTAAAGAATCAAATGATTTACCAATTCCTTACCAAGGATTAAATCGGTGGAATTTTGAATCGAGGTTGTAAAATTTTGTTTAGCCGTCGCTATCTCAAAATTTGCTGCGATATGTAATTATATCTAACTATACGACTATTATCTGAACTATGTTTATGATCAAGGAATAGTTGTGCTCCATGAATCGTTGGAGCCATACACAATCAACAAAAAAAGGATGATATTCTTAATAACCATGGGCTCCACCACCCCTCCCCCCAAGGTAAGAAGGATAAAAACCCACTTGAGAATAAACTAAGAAGGATTGAACAACCACTAGAGAATAAACTAATATGCCCATGGATTACAACTTGCTAACTCTTGTTTACAAAAAGAGGCAAAAACTGATGGTGGGTGGGGCCACTTGGCTACTAGGGTGCATTCAGGGCTGTGTTTTAAATCCCACATCGACAACAGATGTCATAGTTGGAAGGCAAAGGGGACTATGAAGAGAGATGGAGTACGATTAAAAAACATACTTACCTGGACGGGGTCAATGGGTGATCAAGAAGGCCCATGGCTTAGGTTGGTGACTTCCATTGCACTTGGGATGGGTGCTAGCCTAAGGTCTACTCAAGTGGTAGAGTCTACGTCATAATTTGTGATAGTGGGGGCTGCGTTCGCGCGGTCCTTACCTAATTTAATTGAAAGTGTGCTCATCTTGTTTGCTCACTTTATGTGGGGATCAACTCATTAGGCTTGCATGTGGTCCCATTAATTTGAATCTATTTTATAAAGAAATTAGTACTACGTGTGTTTAAAAGTATAAAATAATAAATATATTTTTTATTTATATTCAAAATTAAATCACAAACAGAAAATAAATTTTTTTTATAGTGGTGGTGGTGGTAGGTGATAGTTATGATTGGTGGCATGACTGTAGTGGTGGTGGTGGTGGTGGTGGTGGTGGTGGTGGGGGGGGTGGTGGGGCGGTGGGGGGGGGGGGTGGGTGGAGGCGGCGCCAACGACGATAGTGGTGGTGGAGGCGGCACACTATTTTTTTTAAAAAAATATTTATGAAATTTTTGATTGAAAAATATTTTTAAAAAATTATTTTAAACACACCTTTAGCGGCCTTTTTTTCCTATTAAATTTTGGATGTTTTAGTCATTAAATTAAACTTTAAAATAAAATTTAAAGCGATTTCAACCATAAATAACAAAAGTTATTTTGTCTAATTTTTGAAATTTAAATTGTAAACTACTTTGTTATATAGATTTACTAGTAATAACTCGTGCCTAAAGACACTTTGCTATTTAAGAAAATCTTTCAATTTAAAATAGTTTTTTTTTCTTCATTTGTTTTAATTAAAGAAATTGAAATCAATATAATCCTTTCTATTTTTTTAGTAATTTTTTTGTAAATAATAACCCATGAAAATCTCAACCTGTCTACAATCACATCAATTACATCATTGTCCAACATAAACCATTCAATCTCTCAACACAAACCATTGCATAACCAATCTCAAAAATAAATTACTCAACCTTAACTTAAAAACAACATCAAATTTTAATCACTACATAATATAAGCTAAAATCTCATTTATATGATAATAACGAAAGTTATAGACACATTATACATGCAAGTCCAACCAAAAAATTAAATCTACATAAATAATAATCATTTGGTTTGAACATTTTATAATTTGAAGCATCGACCAATAATGAAATTGCAACTCTTCCAATAACTCTTATTATCAATTCATCCATGTAATCCATTGCAATTTGTGGTCTTATCAACCGCTTCAAGATCCCAATCGCATTAGTCACAAAGCAATCTTTCTAATACAATTCAATAACAATAAACATGAAATAAATAAATGAACACAAAAATTATTTTATGTAATTACAATTTTTTCCCACAACTCATTCTACACATAGCATGTTAGAGAGCTACTTGGTACACTTGATTCTTCCAAATGTTCAAGAACACCCATTTCCCTCAGAATACGACCTGTAAAGTTGTTAAAACAATGTCCAACATTATTATTTTAATAACATTAGTTGACAAGAAACCACATTGCTAGCAAAGAAGAACATGTAATGGAAAAAGAACATACGATATAATAAAAACAAAGCCTTTAAGTTATTCAAAATTTACTGCATACCTTTCAAGTTGTTAAATTAAAGACATAAGACCATGAGCCTAGTCAAGTTTGCCAGTTTGTTTAGGTATGTTGTTCCATGTCACTTGTTCTATCCCTAGCGTAGTTCAAATAATAGGCCAATGAGCCAATTTCTTCGAAAAGATCTAAGATTAATATCATAACAATTAACATTACACATTAGAATTTTAAGCAAACAAAAAGAGTCATATTCAACTAAAACAATTCAAAATAGCAAAACTCTATGTTATTAAAGAAACACACAACAAAACCCCAACATCCAATTTCATAAAAAAAACAAACAAATTATGAAATTAAACCCCAATTGCAATCAAAATAAACTTGTAAACCCCTACATTTCTAAACTATCAACAATCGTCCAATTAGATTCGTTTGCATTTAACGTCTCTATTTACATCCTAAATCAAAATATAAGAATAATAAATATTTTTGAGATATGCTTGTAAAATGAGAAATTGTGAATTTTTTTATTTATTTAGAATTGTTGGTGAATTGAGAATATTTGGTTTCCTCATTTGTATGGTTTTTGTGATGGATTTGGATTGCCATGAGAGATGTCATAAAGTGTTAGAGGCTAGTCTATCCTAGTGGGGGTGAGATGATTTTTTAACACTTGTAGTGGATTGTCATTTGGTAATGCGATCACTATCGTTCACTGGAGTTCGAACAAGG